TATCTATCTATCTATCTATCTATCTATCTATCTATCTCAATCCGTTTGAATCTCTCTATTTCAATGAGTTCATACCTATCTCAATTTGTTTATGTCTGTCTGTCTATCTATCTATCTATCTATCTATCTAAGTGTATTCATAACTGTCTGTATATTTATCTATCTCAATGAATTCATATCTATCTATCTATCTATCTATCTATCTATCTATCTCAATCCTTTTGCATCTATCTATCTATCTATCTATCTATCTATCTATCTATCTATCTATCTATCTATCTCAATCCGTTTGCATCTCTCTATTTCAATGAGTTCATACCTATCTCAATTTGTTTATGTCTGTCTGTCTGTCTATCTATCTATCTATCTATCTATCTATCTATCTATCTAAATGTATTCATAACTGCCTGTATATTTATCTATCTCAATGAATTCATATCTATCTATCATCTATCTATCTATCTATCTATCTATCTATCTATCTATCTATCTATCTATCTCAATCCTTTTGCATCTATCTATCTATCTATCTATCTATCTATCTATCTATCTATCTATCTATCTATCTATCTCAGTCCTTTTGCATCTATCTATCTATATATCTATATATCTATCTATCACAATCCGTTTGCATCTCTCTATTTCAATGAGTTCATACCTATACCTGTTTATGTCTGTCTGTCTGTCTATCTATCTACCTAAGTGTATTCATAACTGTCTGTATATGTATCTATCTCAATGAATTCATATCTATCTATCTATCTATCTATCTATCTATCTATCTATCTATCTATCCTTTTGCATCTATCTATCTATCTATCTATCTATCTATCTATCTATCTATCTATCTATCTATCTATCTAATGACGGAACTGTAACTTTAGCGCCACATCGCTAGAACCGACTCCTACATTAAATTCTACAAGACTCCGTTCAGTTCGCCTTGTTACCGTTATTACCGTTGTTACCGGCACCATTCCAAACTTTCGTTGCCATTCCAGACATGTAACTTCTTCAAATACCCCTATCCCCCACACCCTGCGCATTCCCCTTTCTAACGACTAACAAGGATTTTCTTTCCAAGTTGTATTCCTCTCTTTCAATCCACACACTACTGCCGACAGTTGAAAGCTAAAACAAATTCCAGTTCTTCATTAAAGTGTAATACGGGACGAGATGGATGGACTTAATATTCCAGCCTCGTTCTGAGATCTTGTCTGTAAAATGAATTTTCATGCAATTGGAGAGAAAAAGTGCGCACACGAGAGAGAGAGACAGAGAGACACAGAGAGAGAGAGAGAGAGAGAGAGAGAGAGAGAGATGGATGCAGACGATAGAAAGAGAGGGGGAGAGGCGAGAAAGAGAGAGATGGATGCAGACGATAAAGAAAAGAGGAATGTTTGTGAAGGAGGTTTAAATGCTGGAGCGGATAGGACGAATTTAAGAGAAAAGAGAAGACATCGAGGAAAAAAATAGACCGATTTTTGGCGTAGATGAGAAAACGATAAGGTATCGAAAAGTTGCAATCATTATCTCCAGCTTATAAAAATCAGAATGTAGTCTGCGGTTAGATTCATGTAGAATGTTTCTGAATCAGAGAAACGTAAACAAAAACCATAATAATACATAAAAGAAAACTAGTCTTGAAGAGGAAATAAAAGGATAATATTCTTATTATATAATTAATAATGTCACCTGGAAAAGGAAAGAGATGTTTAAGGTGTGCAAATGTAGGTATACAGTAATGAAAAACAAAACGGGCGCACAAAATGTATTATATGTAATTTTTCTTACTCGAATTCACTCCAGGGAAGACAGTAAAGTCGGTAAGCCACAAGGGATTACTGGGTGTTAAAGAATTAGAAACATTATTAAGGAGCGAAAACAATAGAAGAGTATCAGGAGGAGAGTAGATAACGCTTAACCTTATTAAAAACTAGCAATAGAGCCCGGCGTTACCCGGGGATGTAACAGTAAGAGATAGATCAAGTATCGACCATCATAAAGACTGAAAAATAAAATTGACAAAGATTATTGTTTAAGGTTGACTGACACGCATGTCTTAATTAGTTTTTTTGTTGTTGTTGTTACTTTTTTACGAATTGATCAAACCCAAACTCAAACAAAAACATTGTTTTCAATCGTTATGAGTTTACCGATTGAATAGAATTTTATTATAAACAATTGTCTTGTAAATTAAATTTTTTAAAGCATTCTGAATGTAAAAATAAAGAAAAAAATGTAAAGACAATAAGAAACACTACCTGCCAAAAAAAAAAGTGAAGTTTTGTTGAAATCAGTTGAAAAATGTAGGAAATCCGATCCCATATAAACGAAACGACACACACACACACACACACACACACACACACACACACACACACACACACACACACACACACACCTGGGTTTTTATAATAAGTATAACTCGATATTAATAAGTATAACTTGATATGAGTTGTCCCTCCTTCATTCTGGCGATGCCTCTTAATCGTGTTTTCAAATTGATTTCGTGCAAAAACAATTGTGTTTTTCTAATTTTTGGCGCTGTCAGAATCACCGCAAGGTAATTTTATGTAGTCCTGTGAAGTTTTGTTGAAATCGGTTGAAAAATGTTGGAAATCCGATCCAATATATAAACGTACAAACACACACACACACACACACACACACACACACACACACACACACAACACACACACAACCTGGATTTTATAATAAGTATGATTATAATTATGGAAAGTAAAAATTTCCCTGGCATACAGTGTTCGATGGGTAAATAGTCGCCATTTTATATTTTTAATTTCGCGTATGCACGTTGCTTTTATTTGATTTTGTCGACTGCACTGTAGAGTAGGGTTAATAGGTCACCATCTGTGAGAAAAAGAGCACCATAACGCAATTCACTCCGCCAGAAATTTGAAAACGACATGCTGTACTGCTTGGCATTCGCGCCGGAAGCTCCCATACGAACATTTCAGAGTGTTTGGATGTCACTCTGAGGACACTACAGAGGATTCGGAAAGAGTTGGATGAGTCTAATGTTGATTACAAAGGTACAGCAACTCAGAAAACTCATTCTGATTGTTCTGATAAGATTAGAACCCCCGAATTTGTTGGTGAGGGCCTCATAATCAACACTGAGGCCCACATAAAGTGCTTTTAGGAAGTAGTACTGCCCTGTGTCAAGAGGGTGACTGCTGGAAGGCTCTGTGTCTGATAACAAGACTCTGCCCCATGTTACACAAGCAGAATAATCCAACAATGGCTGTCAGATAATTTTGCGACCATATCACCCCTACATCTGGCCACCTAACTCCCAGACAGCAACGCCCTTGATTATTATCTCTGGGGCACAGTTGGGCGAGAGACCAACAAAATTTCTTGTAAAGCCAAAGATGAACTGAAGGCTAGGAATATGGCAGCATTCACCAACTTAAACAAGTAGGCCGTCCAGAAGAGTTGCAGGTGATACCGAAGTCGTTTTGAGGCTGTGGTTGAAGCCAATAATGATTTTATTGAATACATTTACTCATTAGTATTTCAAGATATTTTGGTGTAATTTTGGTAAGTGTATCTGTCAAAATGAGATGTCAGTATTATTCTCATTTTTGCGTAATTTAGACGACAATTTATCCATCGTACCCTGTATATTGAGAGATTTCTAAATGTTTATCTGAAATAAATAAAAAAATACGAACTTTAGGCATATATTTAGTCGCAATATATGGAAGGGCACATTTATTAGTTATTGTTTTCACCGAGGCATTTACAACTGGAAAAGCTGAGGTCATCTCGACCCTCGGTTGGTTGATTTTCCGAGCCAAACCTATAGACCATTATTATTAAAAAACAAACAAAACCTTTTAACAGTTTTTTTTTTTTTACTGTAAGCAGGATCATGGTTTCGTTCTTGGAATGGAATCTCAAACTATCGATGCGCTTCAAAATGGAAAGCATAGCTTTTATGACACTTGCTGGCCGCCAAGACATTTCTCGCTCTAATCCGAAACGGTTTTGTCATTTGCCTTGCTTGAAAATGTGTAATATGAAAATTACGCCAGGAACTGGAAAGCGACAAATAGGGACACCATATCGAATTTTCTGAGACTGTCGCGGCCTTTATGGAATGGTCGTTAAGGCAAAGAGAAGCGCAAAGAAGGCGAAATGAGATAAAGGCAAAAAGAGAGACTTAGAGAATTGCATATGGAGAAAAAATAGATGTAAAACAAGAAAGATAACGGGGGAAAAAAGATGGCTTCTGTTTTTTAATCTGTAAAAGACAAAATGGCATAAAAAAGAAAACAAGGAAGAATAAAGATCTGAAGATAAGCTCGAAAAAAGAGAAGAAGAAGAAGAAGAAGAAGAAGAAGAAGAAGAAGAAGAAGAAAAGGGGTGAAGGAGGAGGAGGAAGAAGAAGAAGGGAGAAGGAGGAGGGGGAAGAAGAAGAAGAGGGGGAGGAGGAAGAAGAAGAGGGGAGGAGGTGGAGGAGGAGGAAGAAGAAGAAAAAGGAGGGGAGGAAGAGGAGGAGGAAGAAGAAGAAGAGGGAGGAGGAGGAAGAAGAAGAAGAGTGGAGGAGGAGGAGGAGCAAGAAGAAGAAGAGAGGAGGAGGAGGAGGAGGAGAAGAAGAAGAAGAAGAATGTACAAAAATGGCGGAGAAAATGCGTGAAAGAGAAGAAAAGGCTTAAATAAGAAAATAACGAAATGAACAAGTTTTTTTTGTTTTTTTTTACGGGTTATCAACCTTTTTTTTTACAGATTATTTAAAGTCAGAAAATATTTTTAGATTATAAGAAGCTTCTTTTTTTTTTTTAGATAATAATGATTTATTGATACAAGTGCTGCTAATTAACCCATAGGTAGGGGTAGATGATGTGGATACATACCTTTCCAAGGGTATTTATACATAAAGTAATAAAACGAACCCGACTGGAATTAGAACTAGGCTCTTTGATTTCCGATTCCGATCCGGTATCCATTACACAACACGCACATCAAAGCTTACAGCGCCTGGTATTCCCAAGTGGTCACCCATCCGTGTACTAACCTGGCTCGACGTTGCTTTACTTCGGTTATCGTACACAAACCGGTGTTTTGACGTGATATCGCCGTAAGCCATACCGCTCACTCATCGAAGCTTACAACACCTATCTAGCTAAAGAACAGGCTCGAGGTTGCTTAACTCGATGATCGTACGAGAACCGGTGTTTCAACTTGATACGGCCGTAAAACATACCGCACACTCATCCAAGCTAACAGCATCTGGTATTCCCAAACAATTACTCTTTTATGTACTGACATGCCTCGACATTGCTTAATTTAGGTGATCGTACGCGATCCGGCGCTTTAACGTGATATGGCCGTAAGCCATACAACCCCCACATACAAGCTTACAGCACCTGATATTCCGAAGCGGTCAACCATCTAGATACTAACCTGGCTCGACGTTGCTTAACTTCAGCGATCGTACGAGAACCGAAGTTTTGAATTAATATGGCCGTAGGCCATACTGCCCACTGAGCCAAACTGACTACACCTGATATTTCCAAGCGGTCTCCCATCTAGTTACTGAACAGGGTCGACGTTGCTTAACTCTGATGATCGTACGAGAGCAGGTGTTTCAATTTGATATGATTTATGCCATATCACCCACTCACCCAAACTTACTTCATCTGTTATTCTCAAGCGGTTACTCATCTAAGTACTAACCAGGCTCGACGTTGCTTAACTTTGATGATCGTACAAGAGCCGGTGTTTCAAATTGATATG